CCTATTATGTGCCAAATACAACTTGAAAACTTATGCTTCAGTGGTATGTAATATAAAGTCTCTGGTTCTGTGATATAAACATTCAAACTCGGAGAAAAGCACACAAATTTGTAAATTATTAAGAAAACCATTGTAGCTGGGTGATGAGGCACATGCCTGTAATCTCAGCACTCAGGAGGCTAAGGTAGGAGGATGCCAAGTTTGGGGACAGCCTGGATGACATATAAGACCATCTCAAACAAAACAAAATAGAATAAAAGAAAACCATTATTCAAAGAGCCAGCCTAAAATAGGTGATGTGACTGTGTGATTTGGTAAAGGTATGGAGGTCAATGGCTACTTAAGACCAGTAATCAGGAAAGCTTTTTCTGATAAAGTGATGATAAAATTGAAACTTAAATGACAAGGAGGTCAGTCATATAAAGATCTGGGGAGAGTTTCATAATGGAGGAGGAAGATTATTGTGTGTCAGAGTCCAAAAGAAGGTCAGCCTGGTTGCAGCATACTATTAAAAACTGGGGTTGGAGAAGTAAGCATTAATATTGGATATCTTAGTCTGTTCAGGCTACTGTAACAAAACACAACTGGGTGGTTTATAAGAAAAAACTAGAAATGTATTTCTTCTGGAGGCTGAAGTCCAAATCAAGGTCCCAACAGATTCAGTGTCTTGTAAGGGACCACTGTCTAGATCACAGACAGTACCTTCTTGCTGTGTTCTCACATGGTAGAGGTGGCAAGGATCTCTGTGAAGTTTCTTTTATGAGAGCACTAATCTTATTCATAAGAATTCTGTACTCTTGAAATAATCACTTTCCAAAGGTCTCACCTTTAATACCAGTTCAACATATGAATGGGGGTGGGAGGTGAGGAAAGGACACAAATAGTGTGAATGGAGACAAAACAAAGATTTGGGAAGTATGTTGGTGGCAAAGTTGATAAATTTAATCATTAGATGTGGGGGAATGGTAAGGAAAGAGGAAATCAAAGACAACCAGATATTTTTTTATCTTATACAACCATGTGCACGATGATGCCTTTTATTGAAGTGAGGAAGCCTGGGTCTGGTATGTGGCAGAAATCAGTAATTCTATTTTGGCCATGTAGAATTTAAAGTACCTATTAGGAGCTGGTGTTGTAGCTTAGTGGTAGAGTATGTATTTAGTTAATGAGTGGAATTTAGGTGAAACATCAAGAATGAGGGTATAAATGAGAGTCCATGGCTGGTTTTCTGGTACTGGAAATTGAATTGATTGCCATACACGTTAGGCAAGTACTCTACCACTGAACTATATCCCTATCCCTTTTTACTTTGAGACAGGGTCTAAGTTGCCCAAGGCAGCCTGGAATTTGTGATCTTCCTGCCTCAGCCTCCTGAGTGGCTGGGATTATAGGTATGTGCTGCTGTACCTGGATGAAGCTAGAGCTATTTGAAGGAAGAGAGGGAAATGGTTGGAAATAGCCAATAGGAAGAACAAACTTGTCTCTAGGATCTGACCATGGTGTACTCCTTTTCCCCTCTTAAGGCTCTCTTAAGACTTGGCAACAGTCTTTGAAGTAGATGAGAAATTACAAATTCATGAATTAGATTCAGAGACCAGCTTATGAAACAGGAATTTAAAAACATTAATAAGTTGATATCTCTTTAATCTAGGTATCTAGTTCTTTCTCTGGATCATATTTGGCTATCCTTGTATTTTATTGGTGGAGTGTGTGAGTTGCTTGGGATTGAACACAGGGCCTTGTGCATGCTAGGCAGGCACTCTACCACTGAGCAATACCGCAGCTCGCTTCCTATTTTCAAAAGCTTTACTCAACTAGCCCTTGCTTTGCCCTTCTCTCCCCTCCCTACCTAGACACACAGATTCTATCTTTCAGTATACTATTTGAACCTAGAACATACATCAATCTTGGAAGAGCCTAGGTGATACAATAAATTAAGGCAATTCTAGTTTTCTAGCAGTTTGTTTTATGAAAGTTTATTTCTAACCTGAAACTCAGATTTTTTTCTCAAATTGTAAGTGATGCTTAAATTTTCCTAGTCTTGCAAATACCCACCAAGAGAACTGAGCTACAATAATAGGTATTTTGGCCATTTGTGTATAAAGAAATACTACCTTCTTCTTCTCTGGTAACAGGCCTTAATCAGAATGTCTGAATGGATGAGATGCATTCCTGGCTCTCTCCTCACCTGTCTCACGCTCTGATGCCTAGAGCTTCTCAGGTTCACCTCCCCACTGTTCAGCCTATCTTCTCCGTCTCTGGTCTCCAAGTACTCCAAGCTGCAGAATAGGATTGCTTTCTACTTTCCAAACATTCCCAGTTTTTCAATTTATAGTAAAGCTGCTCTTAATTTAAAAAGAAGATAATGTCTTTAGAAATGATGCAAGTAGCCATCTTAAGTATCAACCTGGGTGTGACCGGAATGTATTCATCTACATGAAGCAGCTGGAGAAACTTCAGGTACTGTATCAAAGGCACAGAGAACTAGCTATTCCAGGCAACCTTACTCCTTGGAGGGGAGAGTGGGACGTGGAACTCACACACTGTATGTCAGGGAGCTTATTGTATTGGGAAATATGAACTGTTCCTGCACTTCAGAGCTGCTGCGCCTCCTTTATTCCTGAATACAGACTCAGTTTTCCTCACCGTAAGTTTTTGTGGGAGGCAGCAACAGGAATTCTGCCTATATACAAAGAGAACCAGTACAGTTGCAGAAACATCACATAATGGTATAAATAGTGGGGGCAATTTTCCTCAGACAGTGTAGCAGCTCAACTTTCTCACAAATAAGTTATGTCCACAAACTTGAGTTTTATCAATATACATTACCTTCTCTTTGTTCTTTCAATTTTTTCCGGAAAGCTTCAGCCCGAATTTCTTCAAAAGAAAACTCCTCGACTCCTGCATAGATCTTCTCCTTACAATACATCACCTTATCTTTCTTTTCTTCTGGTTCTTGTTGATGACTCTGAACCCTTTGCAGGGGATCCCCTTCTTCCTTTCCAGGCTTCCTGGTGCTTAGAACATGGTTTATACTGGGCTCAATCTTACATGGTGTCCTAAAAAAGCAAAATAATTATTCATCTCCATAAGGTCTAAATGAGTTATTTTTTACATATTTTGACCAAACATTTGAACAGTGTCAGTAGTAAAACTATATGTGATCCATTTCAAAAAGTAAAAAGTAAGAATGATTGAGAAAAGAGGATAAAAATAACTTAAGGGACTGTCGATAACTATGTTGTGGGACTGGGGATGTGGCTCAGTGGCACAAGACTTACTTGGCATGTGCAAGGCCCTGGGTTCAATCCCCAACACTGGGAGGGGGAAGATTATGTTCTAAGGACTACTTTGCTAGGAGGAAAGAAATTAGTATTAAGTTAGGTTTGTCAAGTAACTTATATTACTTGGTAAAAATAAATCTTAAAACCACATCTTATTGAAACCTAGTGGACAAAAGGAAGTTAACCTATGCAATGTTATCATTTTTCACTGTTTAGCACCCAAAATAATTAGGAATATAGTATTAGGAAACTGATGTGAAGTTCAAGGTTTCTAGCTGAGTGGCAAGAATGAAAGAGGCAGTATAGGTTTCCAAAATGAAGCCTAATATACCTTACTCAGGAGAAAGTAACCCTAGTGTGGGTCAGAATCACTTATACCTTATTTTCTAATATACTTTTTTACAACTAAAGATAATCTGGTCCTTGCCAGATCTGCCTAATCAGGGCCTGTAACAGTACAGCCTAAGCATGTACACATTTAAAGTTTCCCCAACTTGCTCAATCTGATAAAGGGCTTCTATAAAAAACTCCCATTAGATATCATACTTCACGGTTTAAACTTTTCCTCTAAGGACAGGAGAAAGACAAGAGTGTCCATTCTTGTCACTACTGTTCAATATTGTTCTAAAAGTTTTAGCCAGGGAAATTAGGCAGGGAGGAAAAAGTAAGGAGTCTAGATGGGAAAGGAAGAAGTTAAACTCTGTTTGCAGAGAACATGAACTTATATACAGAAAATCCTCAGGATCCACTAAAAATCTATTACATAATAAATGAGTTCATCAAAACCAGAGGATACAAGGTCCTGAAAAATAAATTTTACTGCTAGGTAAGATGGGGTATGCCTGTAGTCCCAGCTACTCCAGAGGCTGAATTCAGTTGTATTTTATATACTGGCAGTGAACAATCTGAAAATGAAATTTAAAAATAATTCTATTTACAATAGCTTCATAAATAATCTTATTTACAACAGCTTCATAAAGAATAAAATCCTCCGTACATGTCTTTGATCTATTGAGAAGGTTCTGTTCTACTTCTAGTCTCCTGATAGCTTTTACCATGAATAGCTGTAGAATTTAGTCCAATACTTTTTCGGCAACTACTGATGGGATCATATGGCTTTTTCCTTTCCTCTGTTAAAATGATGACTTATGTGGGTGGATCTTCCAATGCTGAACCAACACTGCCATCCCTATAATAAAACCACTTACTACATACTGCCAGATCGGACTTCTAATAGTTTCTTTTGTTAAACAATTTTTTATTTATGTTCATACTTTTCTATTATCTTTATCCAGTTTTTGTATTAGCACCATGTTGATTTCCTAAAATGAGGGGAGAAGTGTTCCTTCTTTTTTCTGCTTTAATTGTTTGATATAATTTATCAGTTAAAATGTATATGAGCCTGTTGTTGTCATATAAGTAGGTTTTTAAGCTAGGAATATATTTTCTTTAACAGGTGCTATTCAAATTTTATATTTCCATTAATTTGTCTTCCAAGGTACTTCATAGAAGTTGTCAAATTTATTTCAAAAAAGATTTTTGTAATATGCTTTCTATATCCTTTTAAATTCTATAAAATCTGTGGTAATGTCTTCTAAATCTTGACATTGTAATTTAAAAAAATGTATAACTGATATTGTATAATAGGAAGAAAAGTTCTAAAGGAGTAGGGGAAGTGGGAGGGGTAGGGGAAGGAAAGAAGGGAAAAGAAAAAATATGAGAAAAGGAAAAAAATGGAAACAAAGTCTTTGTAAATAGGGAAGAGTGAAGGGAGGGCAGGGAAATGGGGGAAAAAATAAGAACCAAAATACGTCATGTAAAGGTACAAGATCTCAATGATGAATGTAACTGTATTTTATACCTAAAATATACCAATAAACTTAATGGAAGAAAAATGAATAAAATACTCTGGAATAAATTTAAAATATAGTATGTACAGACATTTCACCAAAGAAATATTGATGGCAAATATGAGAAGGTGCTCAATCAACATCCTAAGTCATTAAGTAACTGCAAATTAAGATAATAATGATATCACTCACAAACCTATTTGATGTTTAAAACCTAAAATACTAGCAATACTGAATACTGCTAACGATGTGGAGCAACAGGAACTGTCATTTATTACTAACAGGAATGCAAAATGGTAAACCACTTTGGAAGGGAGTTTGGCACTTTTTTACATGGCTAAATTTAGTCTTATACAATCTGGTCAAGTGAATTGAAAACCTAAATTCACACAAAAACTTGTACATGAAAATTTATAGTAACTTATTCATAACTGCTAAAATTTGGAAGCAACTAAGATGACCTCCAGTAGGTGAATGAGTAAAACTGGTACACTGGTTCACTGAAGCATCATTCAGCACATGAGCTTCTGAGCAACATATGACATGGAAGAAATGTAAGTTTATATTGCTACATGAAAGAAGCCAGTCTGAGAAGGGTACTGTATGATCCCAGCTATATTACTTTCTGGAAAAGGCAAAACTATAAAGACAACAGAAACATTAGCTGTTCTCAGTGATTTACAGGGAAGAAGATGAAGGTGGAGCTTGTGTGACACTGTAATGGATGATATATGACATAATTCATGTGTCAAAATTCACAGGCTGTGAAACAACGAATCCTAATGTAAATTACAGACTTTAGAGTCAATAATTATAACAAATATACCACACTATTGCACGATGTTAATAATAGAGAAAACTGTGGATAGGGTTGGGAGAGATGTATATGGGAATTCTCTGAATTTGCTACTCAATTTTTCTATAAACCTAAAACTGCTCTAAAAATAGTTTATTATTTTATGAAAAAAAGCTCAAGGGGATGTAGCTCAACATTTGCTTAGATGTGGATGCTGAATTACATCCCCAGCAGGGGAGAAAAAAAAAAGAGAAAAAGAAAAAGCTGAAAACTTGTATTCTGAAAATTATAAAACATTGTAGAAAGAAATCAAAGTATAAATAAATAAAAAGACAGCCTATGTTCATGGATCAGAAGACTTAATATTGTTAAGAAGTTAATATTCATTAAATTGATGTACAGATTCCTCAGAATCCCTATCAGAAATCCCACATGGCCTTTTTGCAAAAAACAAACAAGTTGATCCTAAAACTCATATGGAATTGCAAGGAGAGCAGAATAATCGAAACACTCTCCCCCCGCCACCCCAGTACGGGGGATCGAACTCAGGACCTTGTGCTTGTGAGGCAGGCGTGGAACCACTGAGCTAAATCCCTGGTCCTCAAAACAGTCTTTAAAAAGAAGAACAAAGTTGAAGGATTCCTATTTCTCAGTTTCAAAAGTTATTAAAAATCTACAGTAACCACGATTGTGTAGAAAAGAAAAAAAAAGACTGTGTGGCATTATTTGCCATACAGATAGATGTATACATGAATTGAATAGTACTAAGGGTCTAGAAATAAAGTCAACTGATTTTCAACAAGGCAGCCAAGATCATTCAGTGAGGAAAGAACAGTCTTTTCAACACTTTTGGTGCCACGAGAAGTGGCTATCCACATGGAGGGAATGAATCTAGACCTCTTCTTTTTACTATATATGAAAATCAGCTGAGGCTCATAGACCTAACTGTAAGAGCTAAAACTGAAAAGCTCTTAGAAGAAAATATAGTAGTAAATCTTCATGACCTTGGATTAGGCAATGCCATCCTAAATGTAATACCAAAAACACAAAGAGACAAATTACATTTCATCAAAATTAAAACAAATAAAACACTTTGAGGCTTCAAAAGATATTATCAAGAAAATGAAAAGACAACTCATAAAATGGGAGAAAATATTTGTAAATTATGTATCTGATAAGGAATTTATATCCAGAACATACAAAGAACACAACAATAAAAAGACAAATAACCCAATCAAGAAACTGCCAAAGAATCTGAACACACATTTCTTCAAAGATACACAAATGGCCAATGAGTCCAACAAAAGATGCTCAACATCATCTGTTGTTAGGAAAATTAAATTAAAACCATAATAAGATATAATGTCACACCAACTTGGATGGCAATAACCAAAGACAGATAATCATTGGGATTGATGTACAGAAACTAGAACACTCACATGATATGAGGTGAATATGTAAAATGCCATAGCCTCTTTGGAAAACAGCTTGAAATGCCTCAAAATATAAAACACAGAGTTACCATAGGACCCAGAAATTCCTATTTTACATATATAACCCCCAAAATGAAAACCTGTCCATACAAAAATGTATACATGAGTATTCGTAGCAAAAGTTTTGTTTGTTTGTTTTTGTTTTTTTGAGACAGGGTCTCCCTATGTAGTTCACGCTGGCCTTGAACTCACTATGTAGTCTAGGCTGGCCTCAAACTTGTGGCAATCCTCCTGCCTCAGCCTCCCCAGTGCTGAGATTACAGGCATGTGCACTATACCTGGCTGCAAAAATTATTGTTCTTTTTTTTTTTTTGGTACCAGGGATCGGACCTTGTGCTTGCAAGGCAGGCAGCGGCACTACTGAGCTAAACCCTCAGCTGCAAAAATTATTCTTAACAGCCCCAAAGTAGAAACAACCCAAATTTCTACTAATTGATACCTGGATAAATAAAATGTTAAATATCCATACCAATGGAATATTACTTGTAAATAAAATGGAATGAATTTTTTTTTTTGGAATGAAATTCTGATACATGTTACAATATGGGTGGACCGTAACAACATATAAGACCAAGTGAAAAACAAAAGTTACAAGAGACCACATAGTGTATGATTTGATGGCAAATCTGCAGAAAC